ATTTCATGTCATTAGAACCTCTAGTAATATATTTACTGAGAAAAATGGTGACGTGTTCAACACTTATTTTACCTGCTGTAAGTAAAGATGAAAGTAAGAACATAAGCAGTGAATTAGGTATTTGAGTGAATAAATAGTATGAGAATACATAAGTAGTTGATTAAGTCAGTAATTTAGATAAGTTGGTAAGTAAAGATATAAACAGGTGCATACAATTTGTTGTCAGATAAATATTAAAATAGGAACATGATAAGTTGGTAAACAAAGTGGGTATGTAACAATAACAGAAGTAAGTAACATATGTAGTTAGTGTATTTGGGTAAGTAAATGAATTCAGTAAGTAAAAATTTAAGTCCCTGTATTTACCTAAGCAAGGAAGTAACTTTAGGTGTATTTATACTCCCACAGAAGTGGCACATGTTTTTCCTTGCTGATGTGGTTGCGTGACGAAAAGTTCATCTTTTTGTTCTCACACCACCTCCGACAACCTGTGCTGTGCACAACCCACAGACAGAAACTTTTTCTCTCAGTGTTTGAACCCATTATTGTTTGATTGGTCAGGGTGCGTTTTTGTAGAAAAGTGACTGACATGTACTGCTCTTATTTAGCTGCTCCATTGAGGAGTACAACTGATTCAGCAAAACTTATAAATACTCAAACAAAACTTGTAAAGAGAGTCGAAGAATTAGTGAAAGATGACTGGACAATTTTTGTGCATGGAGGAGACAGCCCTGAGACACAGGCGGCTGCGGCTGAACAGTGCAGTTCCCTCACCGACCGTCTGTTGGAAGTTATAGCAACAAAATAAACATCCATCTTTGCAAACTGTGTTGTTTCTGTTTGTACTTGACGTGTGCAGCAGTGGGAGGAGCTTACCAGGAGTTTGATATGGTTTCTCAGTATTATAAAATGTTCATGTGTAAAACAGATTTCTTAAGTCTGATGGGAGACAAATCTATCTCTGTCAATAAGAGGATAAGTTAGTTAGCAATAAGTAAGTTAGTTRGTAAAAGTTGAGGTTAGGCTTGGGCAAAATCKTAACRYGTGCAATTAATCRTCARTAAAACTGTCAACAATAAATATTTCTCATTTTGCAATTAATGTGATGACGTATTTTTGTGTGTGACACACCATCTATTAGGCACRCATGTGAGCCCAATAGTGGAAGGCTGCATGGAGAAGCTAACGCTAAACCAAACACTTCAAACTTGTTTARTCACCTGAARCAGAGACATAAACTGGAGTTCAAGGAAAGCCAAGAAATATGGACCAAAGCCACAAGGTTGGATTCACACAAGTGTCATCTAATAATCATCATATTTGCAACRTTATTGGCTAAATGCCACAATTAATTGTGATAAATCTTTATTTCAGTATTGCCCAACCCTAGTTGAGGCATGTTTTTTTAAGAAAAACTACAGCCCATAACTTGATCACAACTTGAGTTTAAAATAAATTTATGCTTCTAAAACTGTTACAGTRGAAGCAGAACGACTGACCACTCAGGTATTTTCACAAACCAAAACCACAACATCAAAAGGTTACAGGGTTTTAACTGTTTCACTTCAGTGTAACTTTTACTTTAGAGTAACATACAGAAACAAAAACAAACTCTAGAGAAACAACTTTGAAGGGAATGCTGTTTACGAGGCTTTTCGTGTCTGTAATTTGAATAAAAACCATGAATCACCTGCTTGCTAGGAAGGAGTTTTTTAGTTTTTCTTGATCAGCTTTGAAGTTTGTCACCATCATCMTCATCATCAGCAGCAGCTGATTTTAAACACTAATGCCACTTTTCTACTAGCGCCTTTACAGCATGGTTTGACTTGGCTCTCCATGGTTCCAAGGCTTTTCCATTAGCAAGGATCTGTGGAACCAGCCCTTTTTCCAGGACGTACGTCACTGTGAAGTGCTGGCCTGAAAACGCGACGTCAGAAGACTGTCGGCCAGTGATTGGTTAGGGGTTGGAGTCACTGGTTGCATCACAAGAGCTGCTCTCACAACAACACAATCAATAAAGTATTTTTGAATTGAACTGAATTTAATTGATTTGCCATTTGCAACAACAACACTACCATGTCCTCCATTGTTGTGCTGCATGTCTTTTCAGAGTCTTCTTCTATGTTTGATGGCGGCTGGCAAATAGCTTAATGGACCATAACCACCACCAGCTGGTAAGGCGTGTGGCATCAATTTTTGGATTCTGGGATCGCCCCACTTTGCAATGAACCCACCCATTAGAGCTGTTACTGAAGTGTAATGGAAAACCACCCAAACCGTGCTGAACAGAGTTGAGCCAAGTTGAACCGTGCTGTTGAGGCGTGAGTGGAAAAAGGCAAAAGCTTCATGTTACCGTTAACAAAGAAACGTTTAAAGCTCTGTCTACTAAATAAGT